TTCACCAACTTGTATTATACGCAGAATTAACGTGGTATTCTGAAAGTCATATTCCAAGCTGAAATGAATTTGACCGACGTTTTCACTTGGTTCCGAATTGTCGATGTACATGTCGACCAACGACATGGATCTGCTTTGCAGGAAGGCTTTCTGAAAAATAAAACGTATTGATAATCGAAATGTAATCGATCACTTTTTCTACTCTTGCTTTCATTTAAATGGTGGTCGAATACGATAACCTGCGCAAGAAACTACAAGCATCTCTCGCTCTCGTTCTCTCTCTCTCTCTCTCTCTCTCTCTCTCTCTCTCTCTCTCTCTTTCTGCTATCAGTTACCCGACCGAAAGAAAAGCAGAGGACGAGAACGTACCGACGGATGATCTCCTTTGACATTTTGTAACTGCTTATTCTGCGCTCCTGCAGTTGGTGTACGCGGTTCGGCAGTTCCACTAGCCAAGCTGCTGGCACCGCTGCCAGACACAGTGTTTCCACTGGCTGTTAAACCGCTGGTGCCCGCATTCGTGTTGCCGACGCTGGATCCACATCCAGATCCAGAGCCCAATCCAGAGCCAGAGGCAGAGGCGGAACCACTGCCGCTACCACCGAGACCCGCGCTCGATGTGGAACCGGAAGCGGCGAGGGCCGTTGCACCTCCGATTGAGCTCGTTCCAATCGCGCCGCTTCCGCCCGCGACACCTCCGAGACCAGTTCCACCCGTTGACGCGGCTGGTCTGTTTGCCGGGCTACCGGTTGTTCTGAAGCAATTTTACCAGTCACGTGTACCTTATTCTCTCTCTCTCTCTCTCTCTCTCTCTCTCTCTCTCTCTCTCTCTCTCACACACACACACACACACTCTCTCTCTTTCAGTTCTTTCTTTCTTGGTCGCTGTCGTCGAAGCTTACATAGAAAACTAGTCCCTCTTGAGCGTTCACTTGTTAACAACAGCAACAAATCTACCGTTCCATGTAAGCACACGTTTCAAATCGACAAAGACGACAACGACAAAGATCAGAAAAACTATTGACTACGATATCCATGGAACAAGTTTAGAAAGTGATTGCCTAATGCTTGCAAGCTGCGAAGCAACACACAGTGTCGCTTCTTTCGTTTTCTATCGCGCTACGGTGCAAAACAAATAGGTATACACTGCCGAGAGGAGGCGTAGCGATTCAATAGTCTGATATAACGCGTGTCTCGGACATATATGCAATAGGAGACAGGAGATAGACCGTCGACAGAAATATCGTTGTCTCTGCTCGAACGAGAGGAATTGCTAGAGCGGATCCTGTTCGAAACAAGAATCGTACATGTAGCGGCGGTTCCTATAAGATGCGAAAACAATTCGCTGTTCGAAGAACACTGAGAACATCGTGCTTACACGCGAGAGAATGTTTACGGCGCAAATGTCGTATGTATGTACGTGTATGATAGAAAACGAAGATTAGATAGAGGAGACATCGAATAGAACTACTTACGGAAGTAAAGCAGCACCCATCCGCGAATGGAATATTTCCATTAGGAAGGGAAATTGAAAGAGAAGATAGAAGAGTCATACATATGAGGCGGTTTAAGAGATAATAAGTTTCGAGTATAAGTTTCGTTATTTTCCAATTCGTCGTATACTTACTCTAATTGCGCTCTGCATTCCAACCATAACACGCCGAAAGGAGGCATGAAACAAAAGAAAATGAAACAGGAGTTAATGAATTTCGATGATCCTGACTACGTCAACGAAGGAGAAACAGAAGAAATTCGTCTCGTTCGAAAATACACGCGCCACTCTGGGAGCATTTTTCTCGACCTCCTGGCCATCGATTTTAATTATTCCATTGATCGAGGAATCGAAGAGTTACAGTTCCAATTGTATTCTAATGAACTCTCGCTTTGAACGCGTCTACCACGGCAAATGGGACATTTATCGAGGTATGAGGAAATGTTTAAAGATAAATAGAGAAAAAGAATGATATGGAGACTGGGATGAAGAGGAGAGAGAGAGAGAGAGAGAGAGAGAGAGAGAGAGAGAGAGAGAGAGAGAGAGAGAGAGAGTAAAACCAAAAAAGAAGATGGGCAGATTGAGAGATTTAGAAAATCGATAAATACGTAGATAGATAAACTGTGGGAGTATGACAGACGAGCAGTAACGAAGCACAAAAAAGAAAGAAAACACGTTGGTGTTGTGAGACGTTGTCCAAAAAAAAACATACTCGTTTGTACTTTATTGCGGTTGGAGACAGTCTCAAGGGACTTGTAATTCGTGTACCGATTATGCCTTAATTAACGATGCTTGTCTAACACGTATCTACTGCTCCTTACCTGGTAGTATAATATTCGAAGAAAGCAACCAGTATTTCCAAAGATCTCGAGACTGCGGCCCACATGGTTTTATGATTCAGAAACTGTCTGTTTACTCACGATTATCACGGAAACGCGTTCACATTTCCGTCATCGGATGTTCTTCGTATGAACGATTTAAATAATATACAAAGCATACCCGTCGTACTTGGGCACAATATCTACGTACATATACGCGTATTGCTAGTCTTCTTCTTATCCAAGTTTTACAATCTTCGTTTTCGTTGCTGGAATACCTATGTATGTATATGCGGTTTCCTTACACGCGGAGACTCAAATAAATACGGTTTATGCGGAAATTATTTTTCTCGAACTTGGTTCACGTTGTAATCGTGCAATTTACGGTGATATTCGGGGTTAAGAGATTCAAAAGCTGCGAAGATAAATTGTTCAAATTATTACGAAGGAAGATACATTCTGTTAAATAGGTATATATGTATATTTATGTGTGTATACGCGTTGCGTTGCGTCAAGATGCGTGAAGCATGGCGCCATCTCGAGAAACATCTATTGTCCGCGCGCGAACCTTGTTTTTTCGGGAAACATTTTCAAACACCTCTTTTACGATTTATCGGAGAAACAGTGATAGTAATTGATAATGAGCAAATAGCAACAAACTTGTATGCGGCGGATAAAAACGGAACAGACTGTTTAATAGCAGGTTGTTCGAACGAGAGTATTTGCTTGTTGGGAATTGATTCGGTATACGGACAGACGGACAGATGGACGGTCGCACGGTCGGTCGGTCGGTCGGTCGGTCGGTCGGTCGAAAGAAGGGGTTTGTTGCATCGATCTTATGTTAGCTATACTTGTCGGTACTACTACCGCCGCTTCTACCCCTACCGCCTCAAATACCACCATATTTGCCGTTCTCTTTGTCTAGCCAACTTGGATACCACCGTTGTTACCAAAACTGCAAGTAACACGCGAATCAAAATTCTATATCATTCGAGACCTCTGGAAATTGAAACCGAGGAAACGCTCAATGTTTAAAGCAATGTAGAGCAACGATTCGTAGTCGTTTCAGATTAAGCCTGTATCGTCAGTATTTACGAAATGAACGACATACATATCTAAAATCAAGTCAGGGACGCATTGTGTCGCGCACGTGGCAACGACGTTCACGAAGGTCGATAGACACGGCGCGCGCATCTCACTGGACACGCGAACTCTTCCTCCGAATCGGCCTTAAACTATACTACACACACAACAGCGATGCAAGTCTAGTTATAGAAACGTAAACTATCAAAATTATTCATCTCTCTCTTCTTTTTCTCAAGCCCCTGCTCCCCGCCCTTAAATCACAATATATTTCTTTTTTGTACATTTTTCGCGTTGCGTTGTGTCCCGTCCCGTCCCGTCCCGTCCCGTCCCGTCCCGTCCCGTCCCGTCCCGTCCTGTCCCGTTCTGTCCATTTTCCTTTTCAAAAGAAAATATTATTACGTGGACATTCGACCCAATGATATTTTTGGTTTCAACGTACCTTGTAAGTACGTATAGAGAGAACGGAACGTAGTAGCAAGCTTAAGATGGTAAAAGCACAGAGTCTTTCGAGCAAAAGTAAATTACGTACATAGGTATCGCCGAGAAGATCGATTGAAACGCACGCGCACCACAGAGAGAACAAGCTCCTGGCCGTGGAGCGGCTCGGTCAATGCCGAAGAACGTCTAAGCAACAGGTTCCTAGTCGGAATACGCGCGGCATAAATTTCACAGAAAGTAATAAAAACCAACGTTCTCCTCCATCGAGGTTCAAGTTTTATAGTTCCATTGAATTGTCTCGTTAGAGAGAAATTCTGCTTTTAATTCTATCGATCGGTCAAGCTTGTTTGAATTAAGACGTATATTTGTTGTAGAGAAACACGAACGGTTCATTTTCTTTTATAGACTAATCCACGGTAGCTGCATTTTTCATGAAATTCTGCCGTTACTATGTATTAACGCATTATTAAAATTCTAAACTTGTGTGCTGCACCTGATCAATTTCGTGTATCTCAATCTTGGTCAGGTCCTCCCGCAAGAAAGAAGAGAATCCGTGAAACATACCCGAAAACTCTGATTCCGAACGAGCAGCGTACGTATGTAATCGCGTCAAGGGATATGTATCCGGGTACGAGTAAGTACTACAAAATTTGTATTTTTAAATCTCAAGCTTAAATGTCTTTCCAACCAGGAAATCCATTTAAGTACCTCAAAAAGAACTTTATCTGCGATTATCGTGAACTCGTCACTCGAGCCACCTGTTACTCGTGGATCCTATAAATGCATCGTGTAGTTACCGGACTAAATATGTAATCGAAACTATCGGGACACGCGATACACGATACACCACACCACAAAGCACTTTTCTTATTCGTCGATGTATACTGCACGAATCTAACCGTACACGTGTATTCACGTTCGTCTATTCTATTCGAATAGCCTTGCGATCGAAAGGTCTCACTCACGAATCAGTTTGTTCAAGATTGACAGGAAAAACGATTTCTGACCATTTTCCAGTTGATGATCGAAAAAGAAGAAAAACGGAATTAATAAAGAAAAAAAGGCCTCGAAGCAGAGCAAAGTTGGTCGGCGAATGACGGTCGACGAAATAAATATTAATTGGCTCTAATCAATAAAACGAAACGAAACGAAAGAAAATGAAATAAAAGCGACGGTTCGATTACGTACAAGTTGAGAGAAACAACCACGATACTAAACTCGTTGCACCGTGTCCCGTTACGTTTAACCGAGAATTCGCACAAAGAACGTTGCAATTAACATGCCTCGAACCATTACGGGTCCCGCGACAGCGACCAAAAAGTCCGCCTTTACGTAAAACACGGAGGTGACAGGAGACATTGCACACGCATCGATGCTTACGACACATTGGCGCCACCTCGGTGCTCGGCAAAGGAGTTTCCGGCACCATAGCGAGCCTCCCCTACGCACCGGCCACCTAACCACCTCCCTCCTTTTCCCTTCTCCGTTCGCCATTCTCCCTCCACCATCCTCCCTCCTAGCACCCTCTCCAAGTTCGCTCACTCACCCGGCCACCTCCCTCGCGACTACCAGGCCATCCAGCCCTCGCACCCACTCTCCCTCATCATTTTCCTCTCTATCCTATACCTTCTGGCCGACCGAGTACAGAGTACCGGGTACCGACTACCACCTCCGCTACCTTCAACCCCCTCAGTCAGCCCCTTCCTTTCACCTGACCCCTGAAATCCCCTTCTTCTACTCTATCCCTCTGGCATTGCCCGTTTGTCCTCTTTACCTCCATCTTCGATCCGCTACTGGTTTCCATAAAATCTTTGCCTTATCATGAATCGAACTCGGCTTCGAGCTCTACTCTTTTCCTTGAACGAATTAAACTGTTTACCGGAGCTTGTCCCGCTGATCGATATCAAGCTGTTGACTTTTCTATTAAACGCGATATGATTGTCCAACAGCATAAGTTGTCGTTTCGTCGTCGGCGTCGGCGTCGTCGTCATTGTCATCGTCTTCGTCGTTAATCGAACGAGTGCTATCAGACGAAATTCTTTTCTATAGTGACCTAAGAATGTTCTCGAGAAGGAAAAGGGAGGAACAGACCAGGGGTCTGGGTTTCACGAACAAACATCGAAACGAAGCGAATGGCCTTGGTCGGAGGTTGTTCTCGTTTTTTCGTTATCCTAAAATGCTCGAGGCATCGTGCTATGAACTGGGCCAACGGTGGTGTCCTTTCAATTACATGTATCTTCGTTGCTGGGAAAAAATCGAATGAGAAATAAAAGGAACTGTGGAAGTACGCGCAGGCGCGTTCTCCTTTTGCTTAACGGACCGAACGTCAACCAGCTGACAAATACCTATGTAGTTGATGCCTTGATTCGAACGTTCACTACCTCAAAAAGTCTAATACGAACAGAGCCCACCCTTTGCTTCTCTCTCACCTCGAAATCACAAATACTGTATTTCAACTGAATCATCGACCACTCGTTGCCGCGACTGACGCAAACGCGTAAATTGTTTTCCCTTTAAAGCATATTAGTACGCATCGATCGAAGGAAACTATCGGCAGCCAATGAGATACATACATAGTCTATTGAATGCTGGCTACGCGACAAGTTGCATCTTTCTGTTTACGGTCATTGAACTTGCTCGAATTCCCAACGATGAAAGCAGAGTAAACGAGGTGAGACGATTCAGAGGCCAAAACGATTCGTTCGTCGCGCGAACTTGTTCGCGTTGATAAATTGATTCTTGATTATGCGTATCAGATTAAATGACCCGACAAGCGGACTACGTCTTATTTCGAGCGAACGAAACTAATGCAATATCATTCTTCTCCTGCCCACCTCTCTCTCTCTCTCTCTCTCTCTCTCTCTCTCTCTCTCTCTCTCTCTCTCCCTTCTATCACTCACCCCCTCTCTCCATCGGTCCCTCTCCGCCACCTGCTCCGAGTTTTATCACCCCATTTCTCTCATATTCCTCTACCTCTACCTCTACCACTAGCACTACCTCTACGACTACAATCGCGTACCTCGTTTACGAAATAAATTTCTACTCGCTTGCAAGTTTGAATAAAAGCTGTGCATGAAAATCATTCGAAAGGATGAAGTCGATCGATCGCATCGATAGTCTCGACAACGAGTGGATGTATCGTCGAAGAGCAATCGGTCGAAAGCTCGATACTGGGGATCTAAAACGTAAACTAACGGGTAACTTAATCAACAAGTTTTCCATAGTCCAAGGAGGCCCTTCGCGTACGACTCGTTTCTCTGGCGAAACAAAAACGCGGAGAGAAATCATAATGAAATAGAGGAAGAATAGTATAACTGTAAACTTTAATGATTGATGTAGGGCCCGTTGGTCGAGCACGATCCGCACAAGATCATTGGCGGTACAATTAAACGTGGTGGCCACGCGTAGGTACTACAAAAATACATATATAGTACATACATATATGTAGTATACGCGTCTAGATAGCTTTCGCGTGTAAGAAACGAGCCTCGCGGTCAGTGGAAAAGAACCGTGCTCGCGCGCGCAATAAGCGGTTCGCAAATGCGTACGTTATGACACGCAAGGTCTTATAAGTGACGATGAAACGCAATTCGGCAGAAGCGTATAATCAAGCCAAGCAATCAAGTAGTGCGAGCTACGTGCCGGTGCTCGCGAGCACCCTCTTTACTCGTATCGCGTCGAATCGATTACGTGCTCGTGACCATCGACCGGGTTAATTTACTCACAGACTCTGCGACAAGAACCGCGACAGTGCCAACTTGCTGATTCGATTATTTTTCAGGCCATCCAACATTGCAGAGGCTGCGATTTCCATATTCGATCGGTCCTCGACAATCAGACTAAACGTGAAGGAATAGTTTGCCGTACTTGGTTGCGATCGATTCCAATGGATCGAGATGAATCCTGTTATCGCCGGAAATGTATTCCTCGAATGGAACCGCGTATTCCACTAATTCCAATTAGTATTCCTATAATCGATATATCGCATAGATATATCGAATGGTACAGTCGCGTTTCAACGTTCTTTTTACCAAGTCCAAATCGTTGTCGATGTCTAATACCTTCCTGAGTCTTCTTCCCAATGTTACGCTTTCGTTGCCGATCAAACAACTTTCGTTTTCTTTTCTCTACGTTGTTTCAATGCGTCGTCGTCGTACCGTTAACGCGTTCGTCGACCAGACGTATCGCATGATTCGATCAACCCTTGATCTCGCAACAATACGTCAGATTTTTCCGCGAGTGTACAATCGTACCCCTCATTGGGATGTAATCAACGGAACGAAACGCTCGAATCGTTGATAAGTTTGATGCTCTTGCGAACACAAACAGGTAATTCACCTTTCTTTCGTTTTTCTTCTGTTCCTACCCCCCGCCACTTTTCTTCCGTCTCCCTCTCCCTCTTTGGCCCCCCCTCACTCGCTCGTTCTCTCGTTCTCTCTCTCGCGCGCGCGCGCGCTCTCTTTCCTTCTCGTCCTCCCCCGCCCTTCCACCCTTTCTTTTTGACCGCTTCTTTGCGAAGAACGTTTCTTTGAAATGAATCCGATCGGTCGATGCAAAAATAACAGTCGACGTTTCCACGATACCTCGTCGTGGTCCCTTTCAGTTTATTTTAATTCCATCTTTCTCCGATCTTCTTTATATCCTTCGCCTTCGTCTTCTCTGTTTCGTTCGAATCGTTATTTTTATTTGGAAAGAAAGAGGGAGACGGAAAATTAAGGAACTTAGCCCGCGCGTCGTTACTTGTTTTCAAAGACGACAAACATCAATTTACTTCAAAGTATGATTCCTTGACAATATATCAGCGAAATCGATACGAAAGTAATCCGACTCGTTCAACGATATCTACCGTTTTGTTTCCGGAAAGATTGAGTGTGACACTAGAACCGTGGAGTAACCCTGAACAATAGCAAGATTTATAAACGAACGACAATCAGCAACTAACGGTCAGCAATCAACGATCAACAACGACAACAACAACTGTAGCAAAAACGGCAACAGGAACAACGATTTGTTTTCTCTTTTGACGACACCACGTTTACGCGACAAGCACAACAACGACTGTGCATTTGATATGATATTTTTCGATTACCCGGTTGGTCGGTATCTCTCTTTTTCTCGATCTCCCACCTTCTTTCCCTCACTTCCTCTGACTCCCCCGCCCTTTTTTCTCTCCTCGTACTATCTTTTAGGTCGAAAGTGCTTCCGAACGTCAAGAATCTTTGCCGTGTTCCGTACTCGAAGAGATGAAATTTATGAGAAGAAACGTTGAACGTCGCGCATTCCCCTGTTCTCCTTTATCCCTGTATACTGCTTCGCGTTATTCGATCGTCGTCCAAAGATTAATATAGATTTGCCACATAACGACCAAATGATCCCGGAAAATCGTACGAATCGAAGATCAACCGGATGCGCGTAAACTAGTAGGAACGGGAAGCAAACACCCTCGGTCTCGGACACTTTTTCAGATGCACGAAACGTAGAAAAGATCCTTCGTGTCTTCGATCGATGAAGAGAAGTTCTGTGAAAAGGTAAACGCGTAGGTGTATCGTCTATACACCGAAGACACGGAATATCTTTTCCGAAATACGACACCGCGGCAATCTGTCGCGAATGTGTGGAAGAACGATTCGAGACTTGTCGAGCGAGTGCCGAATGTTCTCGTGAAAATCGATGAAACTTTACTTGTTTGAATTTATAATCCAAAGCCACGATCAACAGTGGCTGTTGAATACACGGCAAACACGATCAACCGGTCGTCTTCGATACGAACATTTATCCGTGCAAAACAACGACGATAATGACGACGCGATAATATCGAAAACGAACCAGATACGAAAAAAGAACTTAGAGCTGGTTGAACGAGCGTAATGGGTCCCGTCTAACCGAACGAACGAACGAACAAACGAACCAACAAACGAACGAACGAACCGTTTGCCAACCACGAACTATCGCTCTTCTCCGTGATGTGACCTACTCGCGTACTGCTCACAGCTGCTTCGAACCCCCAGAATCCTATCGCTACCCCTATGTCAGCCCCCACTTTCTCGCGATCCCTTCTCCTCCATCCCCTATTTTGCTTGATGCTTTTACCCTCGTTCTTGCCTAGCTGTAACTCGCTCCAACCATTCTGCTCTATCCTCGTGTCACATCACACCACTCTGTAGTGTACTTCGTACATGTCCTTACATTCCCCCCTTCTCTTTTCGACCTCGTTCACAACCACCACCACCACCACTACCGCTACCACCACCACCACCGACACCACCCCGACCTCCACCGCCTCCACCACCGCTGCCATCGCCAGCATCGCCTCCATCGTTATCGTCATCGTCAGAGTCCTCTTGCCTTTGTCCGTTTTACCCGACGATCCATGCCGACCGATTCAATGTTACAACCACCGTACGCTCTTGCCCTATACCCTTCCTCCTATCTATCACTTTCTTTGGTACCCATCTTTCCAATTCCGATTTCCCTCTTTGCCTTGCTTCGTGAACCCTGCTCTCATTCCCTTGTTTCAACCCTCTTCCTTCTTCTTACCCTTGCCCTATTCTCAGTGTTTCACCCTCCTACATGTCAGTGTTCCTTTTCTGTAGTCTTCTGCTTTTACCGCACTCCACAACCATATCCCTTTCATCACTTTTCACCTTATATACACTTCCTGCAAGTTATTCCCGCTATCGATGTATGACACGAAAATAGTAATTTTTCGTACGTATTACTCCCCGCAACAGTCGCAACCGATGATCGGTCTCCCAATTACCCGTTCCTATTGAGTTATCCGAAATCATAAAATGGATATTTAAATTGTCACCATAAAATGTTTGCCCCCTTAATCGCTATTTTATGATTGATTAAATTTCACCTTTCACCTTCTCATTCGTTCGTTAGCATTCCCACACATGCTTGTACCCTTAGTAAGGACTTCACATGTTTATTGCCATGTTCGCAGTATTCAAAGTCTCATTCTGACTTTTTGCAAGCGCATAAGAAATTTAACGAAATCCTAAGCTCTGTAAGTGCTGCGATGTGTTACGACTACAACCAAATCTCGAATTACGGGCAAACGATCGAAACGAATACAGTAAAATCACGCAGTTATAGTTATAGGGTACAACGTAACAAGTGGCATCTGTTGCGTGTCGTCGATTTAAGTGCTACGAAACACTCGACTACTTGGCACTCCTCCAACTGGCACCTTGTCGGGAATAACGGAATTTATAGCACACCAGCTTCCTAGTTTTTGAACGTTTGCAATTTTTTTGTACCTGTGTGTCAATGGTCGTATCTCTGCCGGTCATTGATGTTGTCTGTATCCACCATAACAGTGAGTGTACGTAAATTCAGATCTGAAAATATCATATTTTTTTGGGGAACAAAAGTAGAAAGGAAAAGGTATCTTCGTACCGAAAATTAGAGGTGCAATTACATTTGCGAGTTGTACCAGCGATAACGTATTGTCCATAGCTTCCGCAACTCAATATAACAACAACGTATACATAGTACATACATACATATACCTATATGTATACCTATCCTACATGTTTCTTTGGGTAAACAAAATTGTCGCTCCGACCGGACGTTTTCCGACTGTGCATTAACAGAATAAAACTCTGTAGTTATCTAATAGTGTTTATTATCTTTGTAAAAATTTTCCTCGACCCCGTTGGTTCTTCGATCGATAATGGTTAACGGCGGTAAATTACGCACATATTGTTAGTAATTACAAACCTACATACCTATATACCTACCTACGTAGATACATACATACATACATACATACACACATTCATACATTTACCGACGTGCTTAGTTTCTTACATTCAGTTTTTTCGCTTCACAGAATATTGGATGTACGTATTCGGTAATACATGAAATTTGATTCAGACACCGTATGTAGTATGTACATATGTATGTATCTTCTTGATGCAAGAACATAGCGTGAACGTTTATTCGCAAAGGATAGGCATGCATTTCAGCGTTCATGAATCATGGTGGAACTGCGCATAAGGCAAGGTAGTCGAATCGACTATATATTGTTTTTGCTTACCGAAAAACTTTCATGCTAATAAGAGGAGTCTTCAGATTCAAAAAACCATCTTTTCTATTCGTCGACTTTCCCTCCTCTCGATCGTCACAAATTGAATTATCTCCGCGTCTATCCCGCGGTTCGAAGTTGTTGCGCCTTTGTTTCAATTTTTTCGCTCGGAGGTAAAGCCAAGCAGCAAGACTGAGCATCGCCAATACCGCCAGACTTCCGATCGTTCCAAAAATTACTGTTACGATTACGCCTTTTCGCTCCATGCGTACCTTTAAGAGAGAAACGCACGTTCAAATAAATTTTATATCTTACCAATATTGTATAAGACTCTTATCGCATTTCCTATGAACTTTCACCGCGTGTGTCACCATCGTAATATAATATATGATAATTCATATTGCATGCATCGTCTGTTGGATCGAACGAAGTGTCTATAAGGTGAAACGATAGAAAATGATGTTGCGTGCGTCATGTCGAGCCAACCAGAGTCGTACCACGTGAAAACATTAATAATAATCCTCCATAAGGCAGGTCCAAACATGTGCAACAGCGAGTACGCGAACACACGCAGCCAAAATCCTTTCAAGAATCTTCAACAACGCGCGTTGTCCGCGACCGTGGTCTGGCAGAGCACACGCGAGCAACGCGCATTGCAGAACACTCTTTAAAGTAGTTTTGAAGGGTCAATTTTAATACGATTGACGCGCAAGGAAGACCCGACTTACATACAAGTACATGTCGCACGTGTCTGGATCATCCTTTACGTTCTCGCGTTCTTTCGTGTCTCTGTTCTTCCATTCGACTGGTTTCTCACGTTTCCTATTTTCCAAAGAGAA